CAAAAGGGTAGTCTTGGAAATCATCTTTTTAGAAGTAAGTATTTAAGTTTTTATTACTTAATTTTATTTATTAATAAATATAAAATAATAATATATTTTTTTTAAATTTAATTGGGATTTACAGGACATGCAGAACCACTTTCTTGGAATATAAGGATTAAAATAGCGATTGAAGCAGCACAAGGACTTGTTTTTTTACACAATACTGGAATAAAAACTGTGTACAAGAATTTTAAATGTTCAAATATTTTATTAGATGAGGTCAGTGAAATTTTAATTTAATTTTAATTTTAATTTAATTTTAATAAATATTAAAACTCCTCCTTAACACCATTCTTTTTGTTTTTGATTTTTGAAGGATTTTAATGCGAAATTATCGGATTTTGGATGCGTAAACTTGCGTCCAAGGGACGAGCAATCTTGTGAGTCGACCGGCATTTTCATGGACTATGATTTTGGGCTAGCAAACTTGGGTCCTGCAAATGGTTATGCCACAACCGTTGACACTTATTATTATGCGTCTCCAGAATACATAAATACCGGTGAGTTTAACTTATTTAAAAGAAATTATAAAGGAAATTGAAGTGATTATAAAGTTTATTAAAAATTATATTAAAGATGAAGGGAATATAATTATTTTATGATTTGATATAGCGTCAATCATGCATCTACCTTTAGTACATGTATTCTGAAAAACTGGCTCATTATTGTGTGTATATAAAAATTGGTTTTTTAAGAGTTTTTGTCAAATGCTTTATAATATAGTATAGATATATTTATTATATATAGGTTCAGATGAGAACACCTTCATTTTATGAAAGCATGAAAACAATCTTATCTCATGTGATAATACATATAAGGGGACTTGGTATTAGGGTATGTCTAATTTGATATCACATATCATTGACTTTAAAAGTGTTATTCTGAAAGTATTCTCAATTGAACTTTTTCTCATATATATATATATATATATATATATATATATATATATATATATATATAGAGAGAGAGAGAGAGAGAGAGAGAGAGAGGGTATATTTCAAATATAAACATGTTTATTTGTACAACCAATGCAACTTAATCAATTTAGAGATTTATGGAAATGATGAGAAATCATTTATTATTATTTAAATATTTATGAAAAATTACTATAGTTCATTAATTATGATCAATACTTTATATATATATATATATATATATATATAATTGGGTTGCAAGGGTTGTACAAATACACAAGGTTGTAAAAGAAATATATCATATATATATATATATATATATATATATCCTAATTTTATTGTTGGTGTAAATTAGGTCATAGTCCACGAAATGTGTTGATCAATTTTTTTATGACAGATCATTTATATGTGAAGAACAACGTCTATCATTTTGGAGTGGTGTTATTAGAAATGATAACCGGATTACGAGCTGTTGACACTAATCGACCGAGCTCGCAACACAACTTGGTGGAATGGGCTCGACCTGCATTATCCGACAAACGGAGATTACAAAAAATCATAGACCCACGACTGGAAAACGATTACCCATCAAAAGAAGCTAGTAAAGCATCAACACTCATCCTATGTTGTCTCAAATCAGACCCGAAGAATCGACCTTCGATGGAAGAAGTTTTGGCTGGTTTGAAACAAATAAGCACCATCCGAACAAAATCATAGGAGTCAAACGTCGTTTTGACCCCCAAATAAGTGTGTTTTTCTTTTTCATGCATATTTATTTTTCAAAAACTATTTATCTTTTATCATTAGTTTGATCGATTCAAATTTTAGACTTCAGATGTAAAACAAACATTCTTAATGATCCAGATTTCAAACTTAACACCACCTCTTATCAATCAGAAGTGAAATCAGATAATTTACTTTAAGCTCTCGATTTCGTTAATCGGTTAACAGACTCTAAGTTACGACCAGTTAAGGGACTAGTTACAGGATCGGTAGGTTACAACGGGGTGTAGGAAATGATATCAAAATCTCAAATGTAAAAAAGATTCTCAAGATATTGTTATAATTCATGATTTCAACTTGTGATTTCAGTTTCATGCCTACTTTCACTCTATGAATCTCGTCTTTGTGTTTTCACCGACTTTCCAACAATTGGCATCCTTCGACAATCCTAGTGCTATATACAACACGACACCGATCCCATTGTTCAGATCATCACTAAACAAAAGATATTATAGTAAGGCGGAATTTGGTCGGATGATGCGGATTTGAACCAGCAGGTGACAACAAAATATATCATTCAAGAAGGATTTTTTTAGAAACCTTGGTTGACCAAGTTGATCCAACAAACGCTGCAACCTCGCTACAGATTGGTAGGTCGTCAAACTCTTAGACGAGATATAAAAATATGGAGTCCTGACCATGATACCAAGGATACCGATGTCTCGAGCATTTCGAGTAACTCCTCAAAATGACGCAATTGGAAATGCAACGTGTGATGGGTGGAACGTGCCCCACGTCTTACCTCATTCTTACACGTCTTGAATGGATAAAGCTGCCTACGTAGATTAATTTGTCTCTATACAATTGGAAATGTTTTTGTCCGGAGGGGTTTTCTTATAGATGGAATGAACATGTTTTTTAATTGAGAAGAACAAGTTTGGAAAAAACTTAGCTTTCTACATAAAGCTTCCCTCTAGAAGCTTACCGAATAAGACATTTTCTATGTCATTAAGCCACTGTCAAATGGTCATGTATAGTTGATAGAATAAGCTAGGTCTCATTAAGCTGCTTACAAACAAACCCTAAAACTACTTGATGTGGGAAAGATGTCTTAAGGGAGCAAATTGAAGATAGAGAAATTGTATAATTTACCACTCATGGGAACTCCCAGCTACAACAATTGGGTTTCACTAGTTAGCAAATGTTCATATTTACTATGGTTGACCAAACTCTTGACTAATAATCTGGTTAAGTCTCATGAGTAGGATACAAGAAGCCAAACTTACCTTCTTTAGGCTTCACCACATCCTCAGAAGCATTTCCGGTGAACGACAGATGGGCCGGATTCATCATAATCTGCCTTGGTTATATGTTGATTCTGAGGAAACACGACCTTCGCAAGTATGGCACCTCCTACCCATGCCGAATACATGGATAAGTTCTCTGGCATGTATTCCGGAGCCTACAATCGAAAACACGTCACAATCTTATAATAAAAGAACAAGATATAACCAGATTTAAAGTTTTTGCTCACCCACCACCTCTAAATTTAAGTAAAAGTGTTGAGTTTCAAGATTACAACAAAATCTTTAGAGTGTCCTACCGAATTGTGTAGGTGGGCGACTTTCAACATCTTTAAGGTTATGTTTGGCAAACTAGTTGATAAGCTAGTTGTCGGCTGAAAAGTTGATTGTTGGCTGACAAGCTAGTTGATAAATGGGTCGTGTTCGGTAAAAGCTAGATGACAATGTAAAATGACCTAAAAGAACATGTTTAAAAAAATATATGGGTAAAATTGTAAAAAATGGGAAACCCCCCCCCCCAAAAAAAAAAAAAAAACTTATTTAAACACTACTTGAAGTAGTTCTTCAAAAAGCTAGCTTATGGATTACCAAAACGGGCTTTTTCAGTAAGCTTAAAAAAGAAGCTAGTTTATGGTTGTAAAACATAACCTAAATGTCAAGTTAAATGATCGACAATGCAGTCATACAAGGGAAGTTTTTGCATTTACTATTTTGTAATCAGGCGCAACTTTAATGACTAAATATGTGTTATTAGTTATTACTGTCACCTTTACCAAAGAAGGACGAATTGAAGATGAGCAAAGACTAGCTTCCCTCTGGAACCTATCTTCAAAACCTGCAGCATAACAATAGAAGATGTGTTGGCAAAAAGAACATGAGTTTCATCACTCCCACAAAGCACAAGAAATGGGAACGCTTGGAAATGGAAAACTAAAAAGGTAACTAAGAAAAGAAAGACCGAAGAACGGTAAAAAAGATGAAGATAATGCAAATTATTACTCCTGTTAAGTAAAAATTAGAAAAAGAAAGGATTTACCTGCCATGGAAGCTGTTCCACCACACAGAACAGTGTTCTCCAGTAGCTGACGATGGTTCTCAGATGATACTGTTGAGATAATCCGAACAAGCTGCTCAACGATACCATGGGTCTCTAAACCCAAGATAGATGGTTGGAACAATGCCTCTCCGACTGTAAACCTTTCTCTTTTAATAGAAATCACCTGCATCCTCAAAACATTATGAGAAAATAAGAATAAAAAATAATCATACTATGACTAACCACAGGCTCTCTACATCTGCTTGAAATTATATCGCATTTAACTTAAGTTCTGAGAAATTACCCTTCCCTTCATGTGACCATGCCATAACACACACACACACACACACACATATATAGACACATGTATGTAAAGCCAGAAATTTGTTGCTTTTTATCCATAAAGATAAAAAATGCCTCCGGGTATTTCTTCCTCGTAGTGGATGTTTCAGACTGAATTTTATGTTTTGAACACAAAGAATTCCCTCTTACACCATCTACATCTGAAGTATAAACTTCGAACGGCATTTAGGTTTCACAATGTATGCATGAACTGAAGTCAAAGTAGTTACCTTAACATATGAAAGAGTTGCTTGAAATTGCAATTAACTTCTATTATTTACCATGATAAAAATCTTATTGATAAATCAGAATAGGGTGCCCTCGATATCTAGAAGCACCAAAAAGTCTACTTCAATAGAAAATCATGAATTCAAGAAACTATACATATAGGGTAAGGATGCCCCAGGCAAAAATAAAGTTTCTTCTTGTGATATGCAGATACCGTTAAGATTCTGTGATTTAAAGAAAAAGTGGACTCGCTACTTTATCCAGGGGATGGAGAATCTAAGTGCTTAAGATTCAAACTTGCACCGGTTTCCAGTATATGTACACTCTTTTTCTTATTCTTTTTTTTTTTTTGCTACCAATCTTCTGATTTCTTGCTGCTCTTAACAGAAACACACCCATGCACACAAAGTCCATGTCTACACCTAGGGCTGTAAACAAACCGAGCGAACACGAACCGAGGCTTGTTCGTGTTCGTTCGTTTAACTTAACCACACAAACGAACAACTTTTTGTCGGCAAGCGCAAAGAGGTTGATTGAGAAGTTAAAGAACCCACCTGGCCATCAGGCAAAGTATGCTGCTCCTCCTGGCATGATTTTAGTGTCTTCTCATAAGCAAGATCATCCTCTGCACAGCATGCATACTGCTCTTTTAGTCTCTCAATTTCTGACACATCAAGTTTTAGTTGTGGATTGGACTTTGCAAGCTCTTGTGCAAACAGCTTGGTCAAATCAGCACCTCCGATTTCTAATCTTCTTGAAGCTACATGCTGAACCGCACCTTCAATTACTGGAGCAATATCTGAAAAGGTGCCCAAAAGTAGGACATAACGCAAATTATCAGTTCCAAAATCAAGAGCTTCTTTGTTAAATAGCACACCCACACTGAAACAGAAGCGATGGTAAGATGAAGGAAAAAATAAATAAAAAGATAGCGAGCACTGATGTATTTTAGGGAAGGATTCAGATCTATTTAGTTTCATTTCCCTCTTCAAGTAAAGGAGACACTCAGGAGGTAGACATATAGATATAGCTGCAGACCTGCAGTTACACCTATGTTTAGTTGTTTACCAAAGAACCCCATGTTTAATTGGATGATATTACAGCTTTTCTTCACCATTTTCCCCATTTGTTTTTTGTTGGAAGTGGGAAATTGCGTAGAGGATGTAAGTTTAACCAAGTGCACTGCTCATTACAATTCTTCAACCTTTAAAATATATACCTTTCAGAAATCTAGACAGCCAAACAACATCTATACTCACCTAATTTCATCTTTTTACCACTGTGTTTATGATGTGTTTATTGGATGCATCGACCTTCGGTAGTACCAACAACAGAAGCATCAGCTCACTATCTCCCATGACCAACATGAAACAACTTGCAGAAGCCACTCCGCAGCTTCTCCCTGATACTATGATGTTGTGGCTGTATTTTAGCCTTTAAATAGCTCACATCTGTTGATCCTTTCTTTTACAATTCCGATAATGTAGACATCCTTCCTCATATCTCCTCTGTGCCAAGATAAGTGTCCACATTTCAAAAGTAAATGCCTACTTTCCTATTATACCCATAATTATGAGATGGAGAAATTCATTTCTCCCACATTAAGGGTAAAACTGTCATGGAGTCATTCAAAACTTATAATAATTGCACATGCCTAAATTTATGTGCCTTTTTAATTGTGCATATTCATTTGGGACAGAGGGAGTAATAGTTAAGGCACAGACAATATTATGACCAAGACATGTTGCAAGCCTGCTACTGCAACCTAGTGTGCCAAGGCAGTTACGACCTTTTGATATTGAATACCAATCAATGGCCAAGACATATTGGCAGGTGATACGACGCAAAATTAAGTGTGGCCCTCTACTTCTCCCACCCCAATCCTTCTTTTTTTGTTTCTATATGTTATAGACAATGTAGAATAGTTCTCAAGTAAAAAAGGTACAAAACATTGGAGCGTAAATTCCTTAGCCACATAGAATAGAAATATGAATTACAATTACATTCTTTACATGTGAATTCCTCAACCAAATAGAATAGAATTATGTAACGTCAGAATCATGAGAATGATTGAAGGAAAAAGTCCCCCTTGGGCCCTGGCTTATATCACAGCCATCAATCCATCATGGTGAAGAGAGAATGCTGACCCAATGAGTCTCACCCACTGGGCCCTGGCTTATATCACAGCCATCATGGTGAAGAGAGACAGTGCTGACTCAATGAGTCTCACTCAAAGACTTGGCATATAAAAATACCTATTTTTCCATGACCGATATCAACAGTGCACCCTGAAATACGTCCTACAGCATAGAGAGATAACACTGCTTGCTCTGAAGCATAGAAGCCTGAGATATTAAATGTTTCAAACATCAACTGCACCAACTGTTCTCTGACGGCCTGTACAAAGAACATAAATTGATTGGCTTTGGTGAAGAGAGGAATTATAATCAGAGTTCACCTTCAAAAGTTTTTTCATTTAAACCAAATGGTGGCACTTTGCCCAAAACTAAGCAAAGAAATGTTTTGGAACATCAGAGCTTGTGCCATTCTGCATTTTGACAGACTGAAATCATGTTTGGGTTTTCATCAATTACTGTTTCACAATGCACATCTGGCGAAAGCAACAATTTTGTCTGTCAAAAACACAGCTGTAGTGAGAAGCCAACCTTTGCAGGTTTTGACAAAATCATTCGTGAATCAGACCAATGGTTTGCCAAACTATCCTTAGAACTGTAATATATCAGCAAAAAGTTCCACCAACCTGTCTCACCTTAGTACCTTTTTCAACTAAGGAAACTTTTAGGAGTTAAAGAAACAATATTGCAAGTAATTGATAGTTTAGTACATCAACTCTCTTGAAAGATTCATTCATTGTTATCTAGGATTCGAAATATTAACACATGTTGCAAGCAACTGATTTTCCAGCAAGGGTTAAAGAACAGTAGTTGGACATTCTTAGATACAGCTTTACAGGAATGAGTAGTCAGCATGAACATAAAATAGGATTGACCCATCATTGTGTTACTTACATTATAGGTATTTCATTGACAAAGTTCAATGCAAGTAAATTTATTAAAGCACATGGTTCTAACAAGAAATAGATCATCAAACATGTGCAAAAATAAGGAAAGAAGGGTAAATGCTAAATATTTCCTACCCACCAAAATACGCACCTAAACTTCCTTGCATATAAAAGCATACAAAAGCATCCCTTGGTTTTAAACACATATCATACAAAATCTTGTAGGTGACTCACTAAGTCCAACAAAATAAATGCACATCAAAACGTTCAAGTATTCAACATACAACTCTGGCTAACCTTGGGGGTTAAAAGTGGATCTGCAAATAAAATTTGTCCCTCGTTACCAATTTCCCATCCTAGACCGTTGTAAAGTACATGGTGCAGTAGATCCTCCATAGCATCCCAATCTTTAACAAAACCTCGTACAACTGGATCAACATTGTTAGCCTGAAGCGATGGAGAGTCAGGCAAGGACCCATCTTCATTCATGATTTTCATTTGAGTTGGAATTATCTAAACCATACCTCAAACAAGTTAGAAAAAATCCCTCTGAAACGTACAAGACTACAGAATGAAACATATTGCATGCATGTAGAACACGAAAAACAGAAAATGCAGCTGCCAATATGTGGTTCAAAGTTATTAGCAATGGTAGAACGTTGTGAAGCAAATGTCAGTAATGAAAGTAGAGACTTGATGGTTGGTGTAATCCAAACAAAAGCTTAAGATAGTTGCATAAAAGGTTTTGCCAAACACCTTGTATCACATAACTGAGATTTTGAAAGGGGGGAATCAAATATTACCATGGAAGGAGCTTGATCAGGAATTGCAAACCCTGCTTTTAAGAGCTTAGAGCCAGCATCAATCACCACTGCCTCCATTAGGTCTTTCGTTAATCTGTAGTGAAGATTAAAAAAATGACGATGAAGTTAAATAATGAACCCACACCCACCTTTCCAGATGTAATCCTCTCAAGTTGGTCTCAAACTTTACTATGGGTTCACTTGTCTACCCTTCCAATTGGTTGGGATATAATCTTGGTGAATTGAGTTGAAATGACACACTTGATGTTATTCAAGCTCATTAATATTTTCACTTCAGAAAGAACATTTCCTATGAATAATATTCTACACATGAATCAACAATACATGCTCTCAGTGATTTTAGTTAATGATTTGCAAGCTATAACAACAAGAACTTTACGGATACTTCACATTTCCTGTGTTACTGATTCCGAACACCATGTATCCTTCAGGATGTGGTCTTCATTAAGTTAAGATTATGATCCAACAGAATCGGATCTCTTCTTTGGGAGACCAGCCAGAAAGGTTAACAAGTTTTTTTCTTTTATTGAGGGAGCGTACAGAACCCAGTAATAAAGTAGCCAATTACAACCTCAAACACCTATTCGTAAGAAGTTGAGTGCTATTAAAACGTTCAACTACTTTACTATATGCATCGCAGTTGAAACAAATAGGAGTTCAAGAACCTCGAAATCCATGCTCCAAAATCCCTGATTTTCTTACTATAATCAGACTCGACTTATGTAACATCACCCTAAATAACTTTAAAACGTTCAACGAAGACCTAGCAATCTCAGATTGTACAATTCGTACTAAAAAGGTTTCAAATATTGAAATTCAAAACCTAATTTTTGTTCTTCACATTTTAAACGTTCAGCACAAAAACTATATTGAACCTCTAGAGCAACATGACTACGAACAACTTCGATATACAATTACAACAACAGCAACAGTAACATATACAAAAAAGGAAGATAGTATGTTACAGAGGCATCAAAATTGAACCTAACCAATGCAATCTACACACAGATGTAACAAACAAGAACAGACCTTGATAAGCGCCGGAGATAGAAGTCAACTCAGGTTGCTACACCTTTGAAACAGCCGGCGACTGAAGGTTCGCCGGAACTCGGTAGAGAGAAGAACGGAGTGGTGGTTGCCCGGTTTCGGCTTCAAATCAATTGCAGATTCAAAACACCTCCTCGTTAAATTTATGGGCCGGGCTTGTTTGACATTTAAGTGAATGGGCTTTGTAGGATAACCCGGCCCAGTCCAACTCTTGAACCATCTTTCGATTAATTTTCGGGTCGAATCAACCTTAAAAATCGAAATTTCAAGTTTCTATTGAAAAATCGACACTTCGATCACTTGGTAACTCAAGTCGAGTTCCAAAAGCTCGACAATGGTTCGATAGCTCGTAGGACTGATTTTGGAATTAAAACCTTAGGGGTTGTATGTTTACCTCTTAATAGTTTCATTAAAAAGCAACCTCTAAATCATTAAGAGGTGAATTTTGTTTGGCAAAAAAAATTGCTACCTCTTAATGGTTTTAAAACGCTCTGAATGATTTTATATCATGGATCTCCCTTAACCATTAAGAGCCTTAATTTCATTGTACACAATTACCAAACAATTATATTTCATTTTGCACTATATTATAAGAGTCTCTTAATAATTCTGACAACTTAATCATTCTGCACCATACCATTCACCAATTGCCAAACAGCCCCTTACTTAAAATTGAACAAAAAAGCTCAAGCCAAAATATAGTCTATACCCGGCATTGGAATAGATTTATTATTTGCATCAGTTTTTATAAATTTTGGTTAAGATTTAGTATTATTAATCGAAGATGCCCCCAAGACCCTAAAAATACTACGTTGTTTCACAAAATGAATCATAAGTCAGCTTATTTTTTGAGTATTTTTTGAAACGCACTATGAGATTAACCATAAGCTTAGGGGGCGTTTATCAAACACTTATCCAGTAAGTGATTATCGGTAAAATTTAACACTATTATTTACTTACCGTTAAGATTTTAGTCCACCAAAACGACATCATATGCAACAATTTGCCCAGTAAGCGTTTACCGTGGTAAGAGTCGTCACCCTTACTCACCAGGTAAGACTCTTGATCCTTGTCTCGCTCTTACCGGGTTGGTTCTTATCATATTCATTCGATGAGGTAATGTTACTTGCTAAGCGCTTACCCGGGTAAGCGTTTGGTAAACGGCCTCTTACTCTTTGAAACATTATTTCAAGTAGCGTTTCAAAAAAAATTATAACCCTTTATATTTTTCCAATTAATTTTTAGCTTGTTCTTTAAGGGTGTGTTTGGTGTCAGGACTGGACTGGACTGGACTAGACAGATAGAACAACTATTCAACGTTTGGTAAAATATAAGTCTGTTCCATCTTGTTCCATGGGTTAGAGGTGGAACAGGCCTGTTTCACTTTGTTCCACTATATTCCTGTCTGTTCCACATAAAATTCATGCCAAACATGGGACAGGAATCCCTGTCCTGTTCTGTCTTGTCCCTGTCCAGTGTACCAAACGCATCTTAAGTCATTTTACATTATTATCTAGCTTATCAGCTATTTTTACCAAAATATAACTATTTTATAATTATTAGTTTATCAACTAGTTTACCAAATATAACCAAAAAATACAATAAAATGGAGAAAAAAAAATTGTTCGTATTATTTAGTTGGGTTTAAAAGTACATGAACTAACTACCATGAACAAGTTGTCGGTTAACGATCGAAACATTACATCGACCGCGATACATTCGCCATCGTCTATGTGTTATTCTTCGCAACAACCCTTCTACAAATGATCGTCGCACCTTTTGTATGCTAAATGAATGGTTTCTTAAATCGAATTTACACCAAAATAATGCTACACATAGTAATGAATGGAGCACAGAACAACATTGTTTAATCGTGAATGTCCAGACCAGCTTGCATGCAGCTCGACTGATCCTATTCTTATGGGCCCCAAAAGATAGTAGTTAGAAAAATCCCAGTGGCCATGAGAATACTCGAACTGCGATCTATAGAGAGGAGCTCTCGGACCAAGATTTCTAATCATCAAATTCATAGCTTTCGTATACTTGAAGCAGAAGATCACAGCAAGGTACCACGGCCCCAATCTTGATGCATGCAAGAAAAGCACCGGCAAGTTTACGGTGGAGGCTGTAGGCCTCATCGGGCGGCGGTGTCAATCTGTGTCTCAACATTGTTGCTCCAATGTTTGAAATGCTTTGAGTTATGTTGTTGGCACGAAAATCATAACCACCGGGGTTTGCAAACGGCAAACCGACAACAAAAGCAGCCTGAACGTGAGCCTCCAACATTATCTCCGATTCCTCTCCTGTCAGGAAACCGAGCCTCTTGGACATCTCGATTACAGCATCCCGGTCACAATTTGCACAAGCAACAACCTGGTTGAATATTTCACTTCATTAACATTGCCTTAACCATGCAACAAAAGGATGCTACATTTTAGTAAAAAAAAATAGAGCACAACTAAAAGCCACAGATTTGCAAAAGTATACTCCTTCCGTCCCAAAATAACAGTCTTACATTTATATTTTAGTTTGTACCAAAATAATTGCCACATTTTATATTTCAGTTTCTCTCAGAATAAGTGTTTACTTTCAAAAGTAAGTGCCTACTTTCCAATTCTACCATTGATCATCAAATGGAGAGCCCATGTATTACTAAGGGTAAAATTGTAATTTAGTTAATTACACATTTCCAAAACCGTATGCCTTTTTCATTGTCAACATTTAGTTTGGGACGGAGGGAGTAACAGTAAATTTATCAAAAAAACAGAACGAAGACCATTTAGAGAATTTAGCATTCAAATTGGCTTCATGTTTGCAAACGAAACAGATAACTTTGTAACTCGTAATGTATAGCACCCCATTTTGAAGTATTATATAATATTTATATATGGCAAAACTCACACACACTTTTCACAAAAAGGTGAGGCTTGAACGCTTAATCTACAGGGAGGTTGGGATCTACTGGTAACCCAAGTACCGTTAGGCCAATGACCCATTGGTATGCACCCCATGTAATTAAGATCCCAAATTTAAAAACATCCCCACCCCAGGATTCAGTAGAATACTTGTTAATTAATTTTATGAGCTTCTGTTTGAAGCCTTTAGAATATTGTAAACATAAAACGAAAAACACAATAATAAATGGCAGGACCAATAACGAAGAAAACTCACCATCCTCAAGTAATTATCAACAAAAGGCTTAGGGTACTTTCGAGCTGCTCCAAAATCAATGAGATTGATTGATCGTGTAGCCTCATCGTACAAAAAATTACTCCAATTGGGATCGGTCTGCATTGGATAAAGTAGAAGACAATATGAGAAACAAAAAAAAAGTTAAATGTGTTTGTATACGAACTTAAAACCAAGCCAGTAAAAGAACGTTGTCCTAGAATCCATACATTATATAATGCAAATTAAATTGGGCAAAATGCATCAAAATTCAACAAAGTTTGGTTTAATTCCTATTTAGTGTAATGAAGATTTTTTTCTCAGTCAATGTAACAAAGATTTAAATTTTCCAATTTTGTACCCATTTTGACCGAAAACCTACTGATTTTGTAACATTTTATGTCATGGATATCCATTTACAAGAGGATTACAGCAGAGTGGATGATAAATTTGGCATCCATGTCATCAAATGTTACAATATGAGGGTAAAAAATAGGAAAACTTTGAACTTGGTTACGTTAAATAGAAAATTTTGAAACTTTGTTACATTAATTGAGGAAAAAAATATTCTTTAACTAAGGCAAACTTTGTTACATTGTGATGCATTTTGCCTAGTTAAATTTACAATTGATCAAGTGCTGAAAATTTGAAGATGGCTACAAGTTTCAGAAGATTTTTTTTACAGAGATAAGATAAGGTCAATATTACCTGATAATGAGGAAAGAAATGTGTAGATATTACTCCCTCCGTCCCAACATAAATGTTTACAATAAAAAAAGGCACACACTTTTAGTAATGTGTAATTATTACACTCTTTAATTAACTAAAGGACAATTTTACCCTTGATAATAGAGAGAAAAAAATTCTTCATCACATAATCAAGGTAGAATCGGAAAATAGATGTATACTTTTGAAAGTGGACACTTGTTTTAGCACGGAGGGAGTACATTTTAAGGAAACAAATACAAAAGGTGCAGAAACGACATGCCTGCATGAACTTAAAGACGAATAGCTCCATCAATGTAAGCTCAAGCAATTTTTTCCCAACATAACTACGAGTTTCTTGATCTAAAGCAGCAACCTTATCAATAGGAATTCCTGTAGCAAGAAGAACGAAACACTTTGTATATTTTAGGAACTCCAAACGTTATGCATCTTTAGTGGACATTTAGAATTATTATTACTCGAAAGGTTTCTCAGATCTCAATCAAAAGAAAAAGGGTCATCATGTTACGTAGCTTTTATTCACAGATGCATAAAATGTCGATAAGAACAAACACCAAATATAGACAATATCCGTACAAGCAGGACACCATAAAGAAACTACTCCCTCCGTCCCAAAATAAGTATTCCCTTTCAAACGACAAAAATAGATAGTTATAATTTACTAAATTTATAAATCTATCCTTTAATTATGATGCACACATATTTAAGAGTTAATAAGATGGAAAAATTCATCAAGGGTAAAATTGTCATTCACTTTATTGAAGAAGTGTGATAATTAATAGATTTCTATTACTTTGTGTTTCTTTATTGTGGACAGTTATTTTGGGACGGAGGAAGTAGAAGACAAGATTATGCAAATTATAACATATCATACTGCCTTTACCATGAACAAGTTCTGTAGTAAGGACTTTTTTGCTCGACAATTCATCTACCACTGAAGGAACGTAAAACCCTTCTACATTTGATAGTAATCTGTGGAATGTTTTCTGATTTGATGATTCCAACTCATAGTCGCATTCACGTGATAACTCTTCTTTCGCCACCTGGAAGGGGTTTCGGAGTCGATAAAAATTGCTTTTTAGCATCATTGTAACAATTATACATTTTAGAACTGTGAATAGCATATACCACAAACTTAATGAGGAGCTTCTAACATGACATGAGGAGAGGAAATGAGAGTGTATAAAGAAAATCCTGCTAAAATTAGGCATGGCAACTCAATGATGCACATAAATGCCAGAGGAAGCCTTATTGGTATCTCTTAGGCCGGTCGCAGTTTGATCCTGCGGAAAACTCAACGCGGTTTGATACGGAAAAAGTCAACTGTGTCAATTTGGGAACAAAATACATTTTTCCAAATGGAGTCGACCTTTTAAGCAAGACAGAAGACTATCTTAGGTGTAAGCCCGATGTGTTTTTTGCCAAATTCCACTGTTTGGAGGAATTTTTCAGTTTCTTGGTTGATTTCGAGGGATTTTTTAAGTTTTTGGTTGATTTAGATGGACTTTTTCTGTTTTTTAGTCGATTTCGATGGACTTTTTCGGGGTTGAGGGTACAGTTGGTGAGTTGCGGTTGGAATACCAGAGCCTAGGTTAGAGTAGGTGTGTGTGGTTTTTCTTACTTTGGCTATGTTTTCTTGTACCTACTTTTGCCTGTATGTTGTTTACTTCTAACTCGATTTTCTTGTGTCTAGTGTCTTGTTTTCTTGTTTCAGGTTCTTCTTTGGGCCCTTACCTTTCACATTTTCCTCTATTTCTAGTGAGAACTTTCTACTTAATTTTCACATTTCTCACAAGCCGAGGGTCTTAATGGAAACAACCTCTCTACTCTCTCACCCCCTAGACCCCACCTTCGAGTGAGATATACTAGGCTCTTTGGTTTGGTTTAGGTTGATAATGTCACATTTTCAACATTACTACGACCCACTGTCGCATGTTTTATTTTTGTTTTATATTTGAAGTGGAGGCATTTACAAGAGGCACTCAATCTCAAAAAAGCTCCTTGCACTTCTCTAGGACATATCTATCTGCTCTTTTCTTTGTGTGTATGTGTGGATGCTTTGAAATTTTTGGAAGATACTGCAGTAATGAAGTAGAAATGAAGTGATCGCATTTAGTACCATAATCTAAGATGACAAGAAAGTACAAAAGCTTGTGATTATGTAACTTACCTTCATAGCTCTATCGAGATACAAATTCTTGGGAATCAGATTAGTATAGTCTAATAGCAGTTTTACGTTGTCAATGTCGCTATCTATGCTATCTGCAACACCAGGATATTGAATCTTCATTGCAACTTGAAAACCATCCTTGGTGACAGCTTTATGCACCTAAGAATTCATTTCAAACTGTTACATATTCTAATGCATATGCAACATAATGGGCATGAATGACAAACATGGAAATTCATCATTCAAGAAGCTATTATGTAATTACAACTGCAGGTTCCCGAACAGGCAATGGGAGAACATATTCGAAAGAAGAAAAAGATAATTGAAAATATAAATATGTCATCTGCATTTGTAAAATGACTATATTTTTAGTAATTTGTAACTTAAGGACCCAACAATGTACACAGGCAATGCTACCAAATGCATTAAAGTGTAAAATAATGTCATTTAATTTGTTATTAAAATGTAAATGTCATTTAATGTGTAAATCAAGGAACCACAAAGCACACCGGTAATGCTACCATCACAGCTACCACTCCCACAGCCACTTGGCCCCCGCCCTCGTTACCACCCATCCATGGGGCTGTGACGATGATAGTAGTGGCATGGTGGTTGGTGGGGTGGGGGTGGAGCAACAGTAGTGGTCAGTGGGGTGGGTGTGGGGGTGATAGTTGTGAGCCTGTGATGACGACAATAGTGGCATGGTGGTCGGTGGGGTTGGCTGGGTGGTTGGTGGGGTCCATGTGATTAGAAAGGATTAAATGAGATGAAGTAATGCAGAGTGATTAAGATCCCAAAATACGGAAAGGAACAATCTTTTGACCAGCAATATGTTATCTACATGACATTTAGAAATTGAAGACCCCTACAGAACTTGGCAACTAAAGCGGACAAAACATTGAACAAATCAATCAAAGTTGACTGACTCACCTGACCTATACTTGCAGCAGCAAGGGGTTCATAATCAAAGCTTTTCAACTTGGATGACCAGTTGACGCCTAATTCATGGTCCAAAACTTCATTCAGCTGGCTTTTTGGCATAACATCGGCACCCTGACGAACAATATCCAAAGCAGCCAAGATCTACAAAGAATAGAGGATCAAAGCTTCAGTATCATAAACCAACCAGGAATACGTTTCGGATGTTCCGGAATAAAAGTTAAATGTATATTTCAAAATCCTACGAAAAGTGCAGCTTTGCATAAATTATAATAAAATATACACAAATATATAAGGATATATAGAACCTCTTCGAATCTATCTCTAAAAGAGCCCTTATAGAGAGTGGAGATTCCTACATATATATATGGACTGTCTCCAGCCAATACGGGACTCCACACCCCCTCAAACGGAGGCTAGACGGTGGCACGGTGCCCCCAAAAACAGAGGTGAAAGTGTGTTGAGTCCCTAGGTGGTGCTAAACGTCAGCTCTCATACCATATAAGGATACGCATAACCCATTCAAATCCCTCTCTAAAAGAGCCCTATAGAGAAGGGAAGATTCCTACATATGGAGAAGTTTGATGGACCGTGTCTAGCCAATGTTGGACTCCAACAAAATAGCATATTTCACATAATTTACACACATGTATTAACTTTTTTATATATCATTATGTATGGGTGTGTAACAAGTATATATAAACATACATATATATATAGTTGTATTGTAATATAAATATTTTAACTACTTAAAGTGCATAAATATAAAAATAATAAATTCATAAAATAATTTGTAATATATAAAGTTTAATTTGTTTTTGTGTGTGCATGTATGTGTGTATATATATTAATGTTTTGTTTGTAATCTTTATTTATTTGTAATATATATAATCATGTGTGTTTTTATCCTTCAGTTGGCTAAAAAGGAATGCTTTCAGTATGACACAAGTGGCTTTAACAAGGTGTCAATGTGTCATGCTGGATGCATTAAGGACTAGATTCAGTCAAGGGAAGAAACAGATGCACAAACTCCATAAGAACGAGCACATGTCATGTAGGTTTTTAGTTGAGGTTACCGTCACATTAATAAAAAAAAGTTTCACAAAACATAATAGTGCTATTCTCAAAGGATCCTATGTGAGGCACTCAATATACTTGTTTGGTGTTGGATGTGAACATAATTTTAGTTATTTACGTCAAACTTTTGGGTACGTCCCATTATTTTGGACTTTGGTAGCTATTTCCCCCTTGTTTGATATATATGTTTGTGTTCATATTTATCTTCTTTTTCCATTTATGAAGATTATTGATGGAGCATGTCCCTATTCTTTGATCAGCATTGCCATAGAGCATATAGGGTAGGTCCCAAGATCAGGCAAGAACTACTTTTACACAATCTATCAGGTTTTTCAACACCAGAAAAAGGTGGAAGCCTTTAGAGGGGAACTTAGAAATGTGAAACCAGATCACATGCAGATTTTGCTGGTTCGAATAACAAACTAACAATAACATCCCCTTACTTCTCATGTATGATAACATTAACATCCTGCTAAACCATAAATTTAGACATTTCATCTTGGAAGCCTTAAATAGAGAGAGAAGAAATTTACCGGAGCAGGAACAAGAGATTCATCTTGGATACTTAACATCTGTCCCAGTTTTAGTGCTGCTCCACGCATCCTGCATAGAGCAAGAGCCAGACGTTCTGCATTCTTTTCAGATAAATACGGCGAAAGGGCAGACTGCTTCCCTTGCGAGTCAGTTGTACCATAGACAATTCTCTTAGCAGATTCCTGTATAGTTCCCCAGGCAAGCCCAGCTCCTAGGCCAGCAAACCTTAAAAACTAAAGTTAGCAATCACGCCAGCAGTGACAAATCTATGCATATCAAACTGAATAACCATGCTACAAGATATAGAACATGGCATTAAACATGTTAAAGAACATTAAAGGATATGTGCATAAACCAACCCAAACCAAAAGTATCCAATATATCCAACCCGATTAAAGGATATGTGCATATAAGTACCAAAATAGCACAAATCTGTAGGTTGTAATATCAGCAGCTTCTTGCTCTATACCACAAAACCCCCTAAACTACACAATGAAGACCCCTGAGTGAGTAATTGAGGAAGGAAGAAAGCTGTGTTGGCCGATGCAACCTCTTGTCAGATATCCACCAAAATCAACAAGAATGGCTAACACGAATTATCTAGTATCATCTAAACTTATCATTATTTCATTGGCTGCAAATGCCACATCAAGCCACCAGCACATTTAGGGTGCGTTTGGTAGGCAGACGGAAGGTGAAATAAGTGAGGTAGGCAGGTGAAATAATTGTGAAAGGTTTTAGGATTTCAATTTGACATGGGTATTACCAATATAATCTTGTCCCAGCTCCCTAATTTTTGTTCCACCTTTTTTGGTGGGACAAAAAATTGCATTTTTAATTCACTTGGTCAAGTCTTTCCTATTCTCTAATGTCGTGCCAAACATGGGACAAGTTTTTGTTCTTCCTGCATACCAACCACACCCTTATAGATGAGATGAAAGAGTAAGGTGAAGTACCTAAAGCAATGGACATGGCATTCCCTAAAACTGTTCAACACAGTGACAAACCCTCACCTCCCTGAACTTTTTAATATCTTTAAAGATTGATACTCTAGCATGGGAGTTCTTCATGGTATGTATTTAACTGAAATCTTTCCTCTGGAAGCAGAAGTAACAAGAAAAATGTGAGGTTTAACGCCTACCCGGACTTGCAGCAAAAATTATGTCGAGCTAGCTTGATGTATAGTGTATCATCAATTGGTAAGGAGCATGTGTATGACTCTATAAGTTGTTCATGGTGATAATACAAGGAAATTCGGCTGATAGCAAGGGATATTTATACAAAATTTGCGCAACAGTCAAACAACTCACCCAAGCGCTCTGGAGAACGAAGTGGTAGGAACCTTTCTCTCCCGCCTCCTCTGTTTCTTTACTAATGGCGGTGGTATCGGCGGCAAAGCAGTCGAAGAAACAGCCTTTTCTTCAACTGCTGCAGCTGCATCATTGCTCTTCAAATTGGCGGGAGGAATAACAATCTCAGCCTGAAGAGATACAGACTCACCATTACCTTCCCTCCCTGCATTAAATGTAGTAGAATGGGAATCAAAATTAGCGTCTATTGAGATACTCTGATCGGAAGATGTAGCCGACGGTATATCGTCGGTTGAAGAAGCTTCCACCTCCTCAAAATACACAACACTCCTGCCTTCTTCCAAATTCTGATTGAGTTTAGGACCGGTGACCGTGAAATTCCGAACCTCTCCTTTGGTGAGGCCGGAGATGTCGGTGGCTGATAAGACGACTTGCTTGATTAGGGATTGCAGGTCTGGTTTATCGAGATTCCCCTGTTTCATCGCCTCTTTGGCGACCAATGACAATCCATTAACCAACTTGTTTAGGTCTTTCAACGACGCCATTTCCAGACAAAGATTTCAACGACGGTGAGACGGAGGTGGATCGGCGAATGAGTATTTATTGAACGGTGAGGGGGTTCTGCAGCAGCGGCCGACGCGGAGAACGATGGGTGTATGTGTGTGTCAACGTGGGCTTTTCCATTGTCACTTGAATTGTTTTTTTCCCAAGAGAGTAAATTACGTTTTTAGTCCCTGTGCTTTATTACAATTTACGATTTTCGTCCCTGTGATTTAAAAATTATAGTTTTTTTTCTATCATTTATAATTTATTGCTATTTTGGTTTTTATGATTTATAATTTATTATCATTTTAATCCTTATGGTTTATAAATTTGTACTTTTTTGATCAATTATATTTAAAAGTAAAAATTAGTTCAGGAACAAACGTATAAAAAAGGGATTAAATTATAATTTCTAAACCATAAAAGTGAATACTAATACTCTCAACAAACTATAGGGATTAAAAGTGTAAATTACTATTTTCAATATAAAAGATTGAGTAAACTACGTTTTTAGTCCCTTTGGTTTGTTAAAAATTATTATTTTTGCCTTTGTGAATTTAAAATTATGGTTTCATCCTTGTGGTTTATGGTTTATTATTATTATTTTTTTATTAACCTGGATATCCAACCCGCTATGCGAGCCGACTAATTTCAGGGCGATCACCTGTTTTGCAGATAGTCCAGAGTCACCGCATACGAACATCCGTGGCCACAAGGGGATTTTTATTTCTTCTTGGATTTGAACATAAAACCTCTTGATACTTTTGACCTTTTGAGTCAAGCTCAAACCAATCAGGCATAACCCTTGTGGTTCGGTTTATTATTATTTTTGTCCAAGTCATTGTTGTTTTCCTCCCATTAACGGTAAACTGTCGAGGAAATTAGATTCAAGAAAAGAAATAATAATGAATTGAAAACCGCAAGGATAAAAACCGTAACTTCAAGAACACAATGACAAAAGTTGCAAATCAATTTCAAAAGGAACTTTATTGTCGTAGCAGCCTTATCAGAGTTTGCACCCCCTAAAGGCTTTTGAAACGTAACACGATTGTAGCAGCCTTATCAAAAGTTTGCACCCCCTAAAGGCTTATGATACGTAACACGATTGCATTAGCTTTATCAAAGTTTGCACCCCCTAAAGACTTGTGAAACGTAACACGATTTGAGTGATCTCAGTTTTCAAATCCTTTCGTCATGTATACTTTGTGATTTAGCATGAACGGAGTGTTCATTATGAATTGCATAGTCTATGTATATATAGCAGAGAACCATCAATACGTTCATTTTCAAGTCATTAAAGTTGGTCTCATGAAGTATGAGAATTGAATAAATTTAACAGATATTACTGTCACATTCATGTTTGATGATTGAAGAATAATAAGAGCATAAGTTTCATGCTATTTGATAATCAATAAGTTTGGTTTACAGTATCGAGGATCTGTTTGTTAACAGCTTAATAAGCTTAATGAGATTCTCAACTTATTCAGTCAGCTATACATAATTGTTTGTTAATGGCTTAATAATATGGAAAGTGACTTATTTAGTAAGCTTTTAGGAGTAGCTTTATGCAGAAATTCAAGTTTCTTTCAAACTTGTCCCTCCTAGTTAAAAGAATGTGCTTTATTCCATCTGTGGAAAAATCCTTCCAAACAAGAACATTCTCAATATATACAAATAAATTAATCCACATAAATATTTTTATCCATACATGACTTAATGAAAAATCAATCAAACAACGCCTAACTTAGTAAATGATATTCTTGTTATAGTGATTCAACACCAAGAATAAGTTTTATAGATTAATAAACTCTGTTTCGATTGACTTACTAATCAGGTTGAGTCAAAGAACTCGTGTTTACCACCATATGTAATGTGACAATGGGCCTGTTAGCACCTTAACGAGCTTAATATGACTCGCAACTTATTTAGTCAGTCATGCATGACTGTTTGGTAGTGGCTTAATGATATAGAGAGTGACTTATTCAATAAGCTGTTAGGGAATGAGCTTTATATAGAAAGTCAAGTTTTTTTTCCAAATGTGCAGCTCCCAAAAAAACACTTATTCCATCTACGAAAAAACTCTCTCAAACAAAACCTTCTCAATTTCTACAAGTAGAATAATCCACACAGATATCATTCTTACTTACCTTATTGTATAATATTTTCGACCATCAAAATGGATTACTGGTAAGCGTTTACTTGGTAAGAATCTTTTTTTATCACTTAATGGATAAGACTCTCGATCCTTATGATGCCTCTTACAAGGTAAGATTATTGGTTATTTTCATACTCAATCGATAAGATAAGTGATATCAGTAATCGGTTACTCGATAATTGTTTAGTAAATGACCCCTAAATTAATATGAATATAACCGTTAATAAACCATTTGAAATGATTAACTTAACATTGGGCCAAAAAAATAAAATAATTTAATTAACTTGTCCATTTAAATCTTTCAATAGGCCCAATTTATTCAACTTTGGGCCGGGTTGAATCAAATAAAAGTAGACTTTATTAATTTATACCAGAAGGGTACTCGGGCAATGCATCGAGACACATCTTGATTTTAGTACTTTATTTAATTCTTTTTTATGTCGATATAATACGGTTTTATGTGGTTTTGAGAAAACGATAATATTTTTGTTTTTGAATAAAATTATAAATTTGAAAGTATCATAAAATTTTGAAAAAAAATATATCGATATCAGTATCAAATTAATCTTTTTAAAAGTTCTTGTGTTTTGATGTAATTTTCTTAATTTAATTTTTTAATTATAATTTAATTTAGGTTTTGTAACTAAGACATTTAATTTAAGTTTAATAATATAATTTTTTATAGAGATAATAACTAAGTATTCTATTAGAACTCAATGATTATCATGATTATATTTTAGATTTTTTATATTTGAAATGAGATGTTTATCAAATATTTGATTATGTTTATTTGCAGAATATTACACAAATTCAAATATGGAGCTTTAACAAGTTGTACTCATGCACAATTTACTTGTAATCTTAAATTTTAAGTAATATGCATCAATAAACAGTACTTCGTGCATAAAAAATGGTTTTTTAGAGTTTTTTTGTCAAATGCTTTATAATATAATATAATATAGATATAGCAAGAGTAGAGTTCAAACGAGAAGACAGTCAACTTGTGAGAAGTGTGGGAAGAATCAAATCACATGTGATATAAAACACGTTGCATTAACCATCTATTTCACGGGTGGGTTTTCACGCAACCTTGGTCGGATCGACCAGTCGCTCATATCCTTTTACACGTGTTGTATCACATGTAATCTCGTACTCCTTATATATCGAAAAAATAAATTGTATTTACGTGATTGATGAGACAGTAAACAGACATGAAGATGGAGACCAGATTATTTGTGTTCCAATGATAGAGATTGTACCAATAAACCCTGGCTTAAAACTAAGCAAAATAGTGCAATTTATGTAACACAGTTCGACTTGCTTTAAAGTCCAAAAGAGACTTAACAAGTTCTCTTAAATGATTTACGTTACTCTTTTGGTATTCTTGCGGGTACTCTCTTGAGCGGAGATTCACAGGGACAAGTTTTCCGTATATAGTTTAAGCCTTCCAAACGCATTTTTGTAAGCAAAAAAGACACGGGTTTTTATTATAAAACGAGCCCAATTGGCCTTTTAAAGAAAATATTGGTCTGATCGGACCTTTTGACCTAAAAGTGGGATTCTGGCTTGTTAGTCCCAGACTTTTCAAGCGGAGCTCAGATCATGCTTCGAAATGAGTTTTTTTCGTGAATCTCTACTCTTTGAGGCATAATAACAAAGAAGATAACTATTTAGTATAACATTGTGCATTTAACTTCAAATTTCCTTTATATATCTTCTTAAAAATAAAAAACCGAATGAAAGTAGTCCATTACACGACAACGACCTATGAGAGTTCAGCCTGCTTCTAAAATTTACAAATCCACGTTAACTTTTTATGATTACCCATTGCATAACTGAAACTATAAACCATTTTCTAATTGTCTGTGACAAATGGGTTTGTAAACTAGGTATGACTTACATCTGAAACAAAGTCGTTTTGGGGGGAGGGCAACATGGGCGCATGTGCAGAGCCCAAAAATATTAGGGGCTCGAACTTCTTTTTTAGGGGGCGTTTGGTTTGATATAATGGTTTTGAAGGATTCAGATTTCGTGGAAGAATTTTGAATTTGAGGGATTTAGATTTGGTAGAATTTGGAAACTTTAATGTGTCTATTTAAGTGCTCAAGGATTTGGTTTCTAGTTACCTTTTGAACCGTACATAAATCCTAAATACTTTCTTAGACTTGGGATCATGTGAGACCAAAGGTTTTTCGTGAGACCCGTAAGACCAATTCTCAACCCTTGGATTAGATCTACAATCTGACAATCTAAATATTCATAAACGCCAAGACTTTTCAATAATCACAAAATTGCCAACGTGTAACTTTCGACCATTGGATCATTAGCTTATAAAGTTGATCAATGAACATAAATTGGTCTTACGGGTCTCACGAAAAACCTTTGGTCTCACGTGAACCCAACTATACTTTCTTATATAAAGAAAAATAAAATTTCTTTTCTCGATGAATAATTATCATTTCTTGTATTCAATTTTATTACTGAAGTATTTATTGAGTTTTTTTCGTACTTATCGAAGGCCCCTGATTTTACATACGCTCGGTGCCTATATAATGTCAGAAACGGGTCTGCCTCAAATATAGCTAAAAAAAAGAGGGTATACAAACCTGACAATCTAACGATGTGAGACAAATACTACTTCAGTAGTCCATACTATCACATCAACAGTTGCTTAATACAGTATTTATATCGTATGGTATTTGGATTTTAGGTATTACCCTTTACACTATTCCCGAATGACAAAACCAAACACTGTATGACTGTAAATTTTAGAATACTGATTTTATATTATAAAATTTAAACATCTTTATTAACTATAAAGAAAAATATAAAAAAACAGCTGTGTTTTTTACCTTTGACTCTGTCACTGAATAGGTAGATATAACATTAC